CTTTATGTTGGGTGTTTTGCATGTGGGAAAGGCAGAATTTGTTATGCCAAATCATTTCTCTCTATCGTCTCTCTCTCTCTCTCTCATTTCTCTCTCTAAATTCTCTCATCCTATCTCCCATTTCTGCACCTTAATTCCTCTGCAAGTCATTAAATTCTACATACAATCCATCATATAAACTACACACAAATAATATACATAGCAATCCCAGTAAATGTTTTACAAAAGCCAGCGATAACACAACAAGTTTACAGCAGGTCCACTTCCGCTGATGGATTTGGCAACCTGAGAAATCAGACCAAAGCTTATTCGGAAGTATCAAAACTCGAAATTCGCGTCAATGGCGAAAGCTAGAATTAAAGAATTCTCAACTAATGTGAGCAATTAATTATAACCTTTTTATTTGTAAATGTATGCTACCAACTTGTGATTGTTGAATACTTTTAGCTTCTGCAGATACTCCTTAATCTCATGAGAATAATCATCTCAAAATCCCATATCTAACGAGAGAAATGCACTACAGGGGGCGGGTTCATCTTTGAGGAAATGAGCAGGAGAAAGGCCACATGGGAAATGCAATTCTCGACTCTGACGAGACGATCGTTCAAAAACATGACAAGGGACTTTAGTTACTACTTGTTGAGAATCATAGTCTTCATCTCGGTGTCCGTCTGTGTTAGCTCGGTTTTCCACAACGTGGGCACCAATTCCCATGCAATCCTAGCCAGGGGAGCCTGTGGAGGAAAGGCTTCTTATCTGGCTTCAAGACCTTCATGACCATCGGTGGCTTCCCATCCTTCATTGAAGAAATGAAGGTAAGCTTGAAAAAATTGCCACTCCAAGATTTTTCTTTATTGGTCTATGGTATCATCACTTCATTTTCCAACTATGTTAACTTGGGCGATGGTTGTTAAACTTCCAGCTATTTAATGGGTTCATTTTCAATAAATTTTTCAATTTGCATAAATTTTTATTTATTTGAAGTATAACATTATTTAATTTTAACTGTCTCTGTTTAAGGATGGTATTGACGGGTTTGAATAAATTTCTACGTAATACCTGCAGAATAAGGGTCAGAAGTTCTTCAACTATGTCTCTCAAGATAAGTCATCGAAAGCTTGGAGATTTATGGACATAAAATTCACTCTCAGAAAGGTATGTCAGAAAGCCTTGAGATGTAATCCTTCTTCTGGTGATGTGTGCGCGGTAGCTGCACTTTTTTAGAAATGTTGGTGTGATCCTTGATGATCATTAATTACATGTGCATTGTAATGCAATTTGTTTTTCTTTGTGGATCTTTCTTCCTGCAACCTTTAATAGCCATTTATTTTTCATTAATTATGTCGAAACTCAACAAAATCATTTCTTGGTTAAATTTTTGATAATGCACTTCATAGCCACCTGAATGATGTACGACTGACATGAATAAATGATCGCGTTCCAGCGAACATAACCATTTGTTTGCTATCTGATGAATTTTTTATGAATTTTTGGATAAGCTCTTGTTCGTAATCCTTTATGACTGTTGTCTTCTACAAATTTAACTATATTTTAATATTTTATAGATTAATATTGCAAGAGTAAGAACCTGAAAATGATGAAGTGGTGGATATATCACAAGAAGATCTTTGGTTCGAGAAGAATAGAGAATGTTTGGTTCTCCATTTCAAGTTCTTGTGTAGTACCTGTTGTGGTATCATCCCAAGATCATAAACATAATTTGAAGGAAAAACAAGTTTCTATTAGTCACAAGAATAAAAACAAGAGATTTACAAACTCTAAACAAAAAACTCTCAAACACTCCACAACTCTTTCTTGGTTGTGTTTCAACACTCTCAAGGTTGATTGATCACTCAAGGATGATTTGAATGATGAAATGAGCACTCTATTTATAGATACAAGAAGCACACCATTGTTGACAAATGGTGTGTGTGAATGGTGAAGGTTTGGTGGAGGCATCCATTGAAGAGTTCTTCCTTGGTGGGCTTGAATCTTCTTCATGTGTGTGCTATTGAAGGTTTGGTGGAGGCAATATGCATGGAACTTTCAGTACCATTTACCAAATTTTGTTTTCGGGGAGCACTGCTAAAACTTGGGAGGTAACTCCAACTAAAACAGTTAGCACCTTTATAGACCCATATAAATTCACAATCAGTTTAAACTTTTTTTT